CAAGATTTTTCTGATTATGATAAGATTAAAGAGGAAGTATTGCTTGCATACCAAATGATACCTGAGAAATATAGACAAAAGTTCAGAAATAAAAAATTTCGGGATGGGCAGACCTTAACTGAGTTTGGGAATGAGAAACTGTTCCTTTTTAAGAAATGGGTTTGTTCTAAAGGAGTTAATAAAGACTATAACAAATTAGTAGATCTGATGGTTCATGAGGAATTGTACAATAAAAATCCCTGTTGACCTCAGAGAATATTTGGAGGACAAAAACCCAGATAATCTTTCAGAAGCACTGGATCTAGGTGACCGATTTTTGGCTCGCAGGGAATTGGTAAGTAAAAACAGTCATGCTGCTTCTGAAAATTTCCCCACTCATTCTAAAACCTTATTCCAAGTCTTATGGTCATAAAGGTAAGTGGGACAAGAATTTTCAGGAACAAATGAAGGCTGAGGTCCCCTATAAAATAGAAGGAAAAGGTAAGTCAGCTGGAGTTCAAAGTTTACCTAGACAATCAGATAATGTTTCAGGTCCTCGAGTAAACAGTACCAGTCCTACACCAAATGGTAAAAATACCTTTAAGAGTTATGCCTGTTATTACTGTAACAAAACTGGACACACTCAAAAGTTTTGCTGGTCAAGGCGGCGAGATCAGGAAAGGGAGGAACCACCCCAGAGGACTCTAACTGCAGAGATACATCCAGTTGCCTGCATTAGGTCTTCAAGGCAAGGTGAGGAGGAACCTTTGGATCTAGACCCCAGGATGTGTATATTTTCTAGTAGGTCCGCAGTTGGTTTGCAAAAGGATGTAGGCAGAGTTGAGAACATACTGTCCTTGAGAGATGGATGTAGCACCTACTCTTTGCTACGTGCTGGAGTGCTGCCAGTGTGTAAGGATACCTATACTGGAGTAGATATATTATTGAAGGGTATTACGGTTCAACCATAAGGACACCTGTACACAAATTAATGGGTAGAATCTGCATACCAAGTTGGCTATCCCCCTGTAGGAATCTCAGATAAAATTCCCTTCGAAGGGGGTCGCCCCTTTATTAGGGAAAAGTTAGGGGCCTGTTAGCATGGGAAAAACTAGTTTGGGGGGAAAACCCAAAGCCCCAAATGTTGGGGGGAAATGGCTAAAAAAACCCCTGCCAGACCTTCCCCCTGTGGTTCCACCATGAAAGTAGGGCTCATACATGCTACCAACATCTTCATGATATTTCTCATGGGGAAAGGGAGGGCTTAAATTTTGGAAACTCTCTTTCTGATTTTGAACTGCAGTAAATAAGAAAAGGATGCCCACCCAGAGCTGAATGTTGGAGAAGGGATCAGTTAAATAGTGTGAAAGGGGCACCTTTTGGTGCAATTTTTTTTCTGTGCAGGAAAAGTCGCTGTTGCGAGGAAGAGATTTTTACAGTTAAAAAAGTGTTTTTTTTCAGGGGGGAAACTCTTACAAAGAATTCCCCTGTTTGCAGTATCATGGAAGGAGAACAAGGGTTTTGCCCCCCAGGGGGGTGATGCCCAAAGGTTTTCCAGGCATTTTTTCCCTTTCCAGCTGTGGGAGACTGTAAGAGTTATTGAGACCTATCATGTCTTTCAATTTAAGGGAAACCTATCAAATTTAACCCGTTCCCCTCCATCTTTTTCGCACCAGGTGAACCCTTCACAAGGGTAGTAATGTATTTGGGGGTCCTTTTCCCAAAGGGGCCCAAACGGGGAAAATAAATTTTACTACAAATATTTGCCCCCATACCAGGTACGGGAAGCAGTCCCCTGCAAAAATAACACTCATGTACCCTTAAGGGTTTTGTGAAGTTCTTTTTTTCATTTTGGTTTCCTAAGCGTGCAAAAAGCCAAAGGGGCCTAATTTCCTCAAAGTCTTTAGAAATGTTTTAAAGGGACTAAAGTAGAGCCTCATGTTCGACTGTGTTTTCACCCTCTCCATCTAAAGGGGGAAATAAAAATTACATCAAACCCTAAAGACAATGTGAAAAGCTAGGGTATAGACAATACTGACAACGGGGGATTGGGGATTCTTTCTTGTTTTTTGGCTGAGTGGGGAAAGCACCGGGAATCTCGGCATTGGTTTGGGGGAGGATGGGAGCCCCCCTCGGGCTTTTCTCATTTTCAGACATGTTTGGCTCGTATGGGGCGGGGGTACCAGGGGAAGTCCCATCAACCAGCCCGGGGGAGAGAGGGGGCCCATAATGGGGCCTTGTTTACTTGGGGCTGGAGGAAGTGCTATACTGAGCCAATTAATGTAAAAATCTGTTGGCAAGTTGCTGGGGCTGAACATGTTGGGGGGGGAAGTTCCCAGGGGTTAGATATAAAAATCCACACCCCCAAGCAAAAAAGTGAGTATATGTACACAGTAACCTTAAAAGGGGTTTGAATTTATGTCAAAAATTCAGAGAGACCAATTTTTTTAATGGAATGTAAAGGGGGCAAAAAAAATAATCTTTAAAAATACCAAAAGTGTATTTAAAAAAATAACATGTGGGTAAAAGTTTTGGGGAAAAAAGCAGTTTGGGTTTTAATGAGAAAAATGGGGAGAGTTGGTCACCACCTTGGAATTTTAAAAATTTTGGGATGTCTAAGGGGGAAAAGTTAAACTCCATGAAGAAATTGTTAAGGAACTGAGCCAATTCAACAATTTGTGTGGGGAAAAATTGTAGAAAAATTTGGGGAATGGAGGAAGAAGTGAAATTTTTCCAACCCATTTTTTAGTGCTTTGTGAGAGTCAGTGGGGTTCCCCTGCTTCATGGTTCCCAAATTAGTGGCCCCCTGGGCAAAACATGACAAAAAGTACATTTAACAACGAAGGTTTAAGTTTTTAAAGATTGATCTTATGCCCTAAGAGAGCAAACTTTTAAATAAACTAAAACATAGGGCAGGAAGAGTATTTCCTTTTGGGGTGTTCCAGTACCATTTTAAGTGGTAATGCAAATTGGTTATTGTGTCTTAAAATTTGTGTGTGAATGGAACGTGATGGGATTTGTTAAACTTTATGTATCCAACCGGGTGCAAAGAGATTTTTTTGGTTTGTTGGCCTCGAGAGGGTTTCAGAACTGTTATATCAATGAGGCAAACCCTTTAAAAAAAAAGCAACATTTTTCCCCAAGGAAAAAAAAATTTTTATTTTTGGGGTGGCTATTCGCTTTTAAAATCTCAGGGTCTCTTACCTGTTCCTTGTATGTCTAAAATCGACTCTTAAAAAGGGCTTTGTTCCTACCCCTTTTTTTGGAAGCAAATATTAAAAAGGGTAGAGAAAGTGGTTGCGTGCTTTTTGTGTTTTATTAAGCTGGTGCGTCTTTTTTTTAAAGTGTTTTGGCGGGCTACCTTGTTGTTTTTGCATGGGGAAAAATCCGGCGAGCCGATATCTCTACCAGCCCCTCGACTGTGAAGGTCGGTCAGAGCCCAAAAGTGGACGATGGTCAGGGTGTACGTAAATGTGAGTTGAGGGAGAGTTGGGGCAACCTTCGGTAAATGAGACTTCAGGAAGGGGATGTGATTGTGTTTGGGGGGGTCTAAATTTTTCAAAACGGCCGCGATTTGCCTTTGTGGGGCCCTTGGCCCCCAAAGTTTTTCAGCTCCTCTTTTGGTTTGGAGGATTTGTGTGGAGTGGGACCTCGGAAGATGGGCTTGGGGTGCCTGACCATTTTAAAGGGATCGTGAGTGTTGACTGGAGTCCACTGTTTGGTTCGGCCACCAAGTGAGAGAACCTTGACTTTGTTTTGTGAAGTTTCCCTGCCTGGTGTACCCCTGACTGCTCTGGGTTTGGCTCTCTCTCGTCTCCTGACAGGAAGATCCCACCTGGAGTACCAGTTGCTTGCTGGATTACCGTAGCAGAGGCACGGGCCTGTTGGTGCGGGCTTTCACAGTGGGCATTGTGTGAAAATTTTTTGCATTGTAATGTGTATTGTTAAAGTCACTAAATTGTAATAGTTACCCTTGAGTATATGGGTATGGTTAAAATGCTTTTCTAAAAAATTCTTGAAATCTGTTGTAAAACGTAAAGTGAAGGGAGTAAGTTATGGTGCTGGAAATATGTAGCATTTTATAGTCTTGTTTCCCGCCTTCAGATTAAGGCAATATACTTTTACTAGCCGTACCCTAGGGGACCGGCTAGCTTTTTGTGAGACTTCGCTGGAGGTGGGGGTGTTATGGGGTTATAGGACCCAACATGTATTTATAAGTAACAGTTACTCTGAAATACCTAATTATATTGAATTGTGGGGACTTTGCCTAAATGTCAGAAGGACTGATCAACCTTATGACTGAGAGGCAGCTGGGTCAAGCCTATTTTTTCTCAATATAAAGTTATACTATAGACACATAAACACACTTTTAAATAAGTAGTTTATAAAGTTGTATTTCTTTTGTAAAAATAAAATTAAGGTGTGGTAAAAAATTGTGGTAACTGGAGAATAGTGCTTGGCAAAAGTCTTTTGTTTTGGTGGGAGGAGCTTAGCCAGGCTCTCTCTCTCTCTCTCACTGACTCTCTCTCTCTGTGGCTGACCTTCAACCTGGCAGGATCTCTGGGTCCTTCAAACAAACTTTTGGGGCATTATGTGTGTCCAGGGGTGAGTTTTTATAATTTAAGTTGTGACCACCATACCCAGGGTGACTAAAGTGTGTCAAAACACTGGTTAGCCCAGAGTTATGTCAAGAAGAGAGGACAAAAGTTGTTGGGATACACCATGTGGGAGAACAGCTATGGAGTGTGTAGATCTTTGTTTTTAAAGTGTGAGGCTGTAATTGTATATTCTGTACATATCTATTGAGAATACAGTTATATTTTTATAGTAGTAGTTTACATAACCTGTGAAGAGGGCTGGTGAAAGGGTATCAGAGACACTCAAGATGATCAGCCATGATGTAAGTATTACCCCTAGACAGATAAGGCCATTAAGTAAAAGCTACCCCACACTAGAACATGTAGCGAGAACCTTACTATCAAAGTAATAAGGGACAACCAACGTAACAGTAGCATACTTACAGGTAGTCCCAAGTGCGTGTGCCCCTGTGGAAGAGCACAGGTCTACCTAGGGGGTCTACGGAGACCCCAGCAACCTGCCCCAGCACCAGACCCGGCGTCCAGCCTCTCTCCTCCCGCGGGTGACCCACTCCACCGCCACCCTCCTGAAAAATATACATATTTTTGCACACTTCAATCTGTGGAGAAGAACCCTTCCTCCGTAAGCCATGCGTGTCGTCAGAGGCTACTAAAATGCCGGAAGATATGGGCTAGTAACTCCTTCTCCTGTATAAATTACTAAATGCAAAAAATAAAAAAAATAATAAACACTCATTTCTTCTTTTGCGGGTCACTCTGCCTCGGTGGGAAACTACCGGTTAAAAGATTTTTTTACACGGTATCTATTTTTGTAAGTAAAGGGCCGATTCCCACCAAGACAGGTTGACCCAAAGAAGAAAACACATTAACCATCATTCATTCAGTGAAAGTCAATGTATGATACTTCAAGACTTGCTTAAGTGGATGTTTCCACTGTGATCTCTATGGTGCGAATCCCATTTCCAGATAAATATGTATATTATTCTTATCATACATAGTTAATAATATCTTACCATCCACAAGTAATACAATAAGATATTGTGCATAACTTATAAAAATATGTCTGCCTAAATATGTATGATCAAGTTGACAATTTAGAAATATTGTTATAAGTAAACAAGTCCAGGTCACCTGTGTCCATAATTCAAAGACTTTATAATGCATCTCATTATTCAGAGGTTGTTTACAATGCATTTTGTCATTATTCAAAGATTGTTTATAATGCATCTCATCAAAGGTTGTTTATAATGCATCTCGTCAAAGGTTGTTTATAATGCATCTCGCTATTATTTTATGGTAGTTCATAATCCACCTCATCTTTATTCAGAGGTTGTTTATAATGCATCTCATCAAAGGTTGTTTATAATGCATCTCGTCAAAGGTTGTTTATAATGCATCTCGTCAAAGGTTGTTTATAATGCATCTCGTCAAAGGTTGTTTATAATGCATCTCGCTATTATTTTATGGTAGTTCATAATGCACCTCATCATTATTCAGAGGTTGTTTACAATGCATCTTGCCATTATTCAAAGGTTGTTTATAATGCGTCTCGTCAAAGGTTGTTTATAATGCATCTCATCATTATTCAGAGGTTGTTTATAATGTATCTCATCATTATTCAGAGGTTGTTTATAATGCATCTCATCATTATTCAGAGGTTGTTTATAATGCATCTCATCATTATTCAGAGGTTGTTTATACTAAGTTTAGTTTTGCAAATCACAACAAAAATCAGCTTCTGTGATATAGTTTGTTTTGAAAAATTAAAAATACGTCGCCAGGTATGGTAGAACATGTCATTATTAATATTATTATTATTATTGTTGGTGGTAACAAGTCATGACTCGAAAAAACTAGTCTGTGAGCGAAACGTTCTCTTGTGTCTTTGTAATGTAAACTGTCCCTTTCCATCCTTTCTGCAGCTTCACCTGCTATGTTCACCTGAACTTTCTGCAGCTTCACCTGCTATGTTCACCTGAACTTTCTGCAGCTTCACCTGCTATGTTCACCTGAACTTTCTGCAGCTTCACCTGCTATGTTCACCTGAACTTTCTGCAGCTTCACTTGCTATGTTCACCTGAACTTTCTGCAGCTTCACCTGCTGTTCACCTGAACTTTCTGCAGCTTCACCTATGTTCACCTGAACTTTCTGCAGCTTCACCTACCATGTGCACCTTAACTTTCTGCAGCTTCACCTACCATGTGCACCTTAACTTTCTGCAGCTTCACCTACCATGTGCACCTTAACTTTCTGCAGCTTCACCTACCATGTGCACCTTATCGTTCTGCAGCTTCACCTACCATGTGCACCTTAACTTTCTGCAGCTTCACCTACCATGGCACCTTAACTTTCTGCAGCTTCACCTACCATGTGCACCTTATCGTTCTGCAGCTTCGCCTACCATGTGCACCTTATCGTTCTGCAGCTTCACCCTGCTATGTGCACCTTAACTTTCTGCAGCTTCCCCTACAATGTGCCTTATCGTTCGCACTTCGCCCCCATGTGACCTTTTCGTTCTGCGCTTCCCCCTGCGTGCCCCCTTAATTTTAACCTGGCCCTTCTCGAGCCCTTGGCTCTGCCGTTCGGTCTTTTCCAAATTTCTTTATTGCTGTATAAAAGACAAGGTTTAATTTTTCTAACAGTTAATCTGCCAACATTATAAGGAATCAAATTTTTCAGTTTTCCATAGTAATTGAGATAAACAGTTAGACACTTTCATGGCCTTTAATCTTTGGGGCTGAGTGCCGCCATGAGGTGGATACGGATAGTTTAAGTTATTGAATTATGGCACCCTCACAGCACTAGCAATAGTCATACAATGTTTGAATCCAATAAGCATATTACTGAAGTGTAGGTGTGTAGCTTACCTGTGGTCCGCTAGTGTAATTAAGTGTAACAGCTGTAACAACACTCACCTCCTGAGCTGAGGACTACCACAATTAACAAAATATATCAAGTGACCTCTTGTTATCATGGGTCTTTTTAAATTAAACAATTGAATTTTTTTCTTTGAAGTTGCAATGTGCCACTGAGCGTATCATTATTTGAACAAGAGTCTTGTTATGTGAGTTTCCTCAACGAATATGAAAAAGAGCTAGGTGTGTCCGCCTCTCTCAACTGTCTGAGGTGAAGTTGCAGTGAGCGCCTTGGGCTGCCGTGGGTGGGGTTAGGCCTAGTGCCATTACACGCCATCTACATTCCACTGTCATTCCCTTCGCTAGTGCGCGGCCGAAGCACTTTTTACTTTATTTTATCTTTAAAGTCTCTTATCCTACCTGCATATTTTAAAGCCTGAGTTTCGTCCATGTTACACAACTCGCTGCTTCTTACCTCATGCTGTTGTGCTTGTATTCAATTGCTTTATTTTAATTCGCTTTGCATATTTTCATTTAGGGATTTCATAGTACCATTACTGTATTGTAAGTTGAATGACGCAACCTCTACACGTAAATTAAATTAAATTTTATCAAGTAGTGTATATCACAGTGTTGCCCCTGACACTGATGCTCAGGTCAGGGTCAGGTTGAAACTTTCATACTACAGATTATCGATCCTGAGGAGGACTATAACTTCAAAATGATGCTGACTGAGGTCCAGCCTCACCCCCGCAGCATCAGAGACCTAACAGCATCTACATTTTGTAACCCAAGAAGCACTGTATGATGACCTACACAATGTCATGATGTGGCTGCTAACAGTATCTTGTCAAGGCAGTCTGTTCCATGAATTCATTAAAGAGTGACTCGTAACTCAGTGGTAGCGCCTTCAGTTCACACCCAAAGGTTACAGGGTTCAATTCATAGCGAGTCGAGGTGAAAAATGCCTTTACACCTATTCAACAAACAGGTGTTAGCAGACTCTTCTGGATCGTATCACAGAGGCCAGGTTTTGACATAAGCTGAGGTAAGATTTCAATCTTTTAGTCTAAATTCAACGGTTTAAAACAAAATTTTCCAACCACCTCAAGAAAGGTAATCACTAAGAACTGATCATTTGTTTTCTTAAGAGAGTTTAAAGTTTGTGTTTTGAGCGTTACCTGCAGGTAGAAAAATCGATTAAATTACCTTATCAATCTTTCAACAAGCCTACTGAACGATGGTGATTAAGATACAGCCCCATAACATCCTATAAAAGGGTACCTGTAATAACAACCCTCTACAATTTGCTCTCCCCTTGCACCTATAAATCTTTTTTTTTCAAAATTTGCAGAAATTTATATAATTATTATATTTAGGAGGGAAGCTATAAACCCGTAAGGATCATGAAGTGCTTGGGGAGTGGGAGGTAATGAGGTTCAAGCCAAGAAAGAGGAGGACAAGTCCAATTCCTTTAATCAAGAGCCAAGTCTTCACCAGCATGAAGGAAACTTCCTTGAGGAGAACAGGAATTTATACTACGTCGTTGTGAGGATCTCCATTACCAGTCTGTATTTCCTACTTCTCTCCCAGAAGCTTCGAGCTCACACTGATAAACTTAAACTCATTCATCACTCCTGGTGTGACCGATTGGCAGATTTTTTTCAGTTTATGCGCTGAAACGTGGAACCAAACATTGTTAACCAGTGCTCAGAAAAAAAATAAAGACAATGAAATGAAATTTCAGAAGAATGGAGAACACATTGGTAAAATTCATTAATTTTAAAAAATCTACGCTAAAATCTGAGAAAGTGCAGAAAAAAGTTATTGCTTAATATTAATGTCAGGTATGGATGAATGACAATTGCAAAATGACTTTGAAACAATTCATGCACACACCTGAGGAAGCCAGTTGAAGGCAGCAGACAACCGTCGTAACCACATCAACAATAAGCAACATTTAGTTTGTTTATATGATATAAAAACATCATTGCATTAGTTTATATATTGTACATGTATTCCTACTGTTTCACATTATTACATTTATGGGGGAGCGCTAAACCTCAGAGGTAAAAATTCAAAGAAAGAGAAATTTATGATATCGAAGGGACGCAACGATTCAGTCGTGAAAATTGTTCATGGAGGTTTCAGGCAATATATAAGTAATAATGTATGTGTGTGTGTGTAGTACATGACTCACCTTCCAGCCGTCACGGTCGTCTAGAAGGCTCCGCAGCTCAGTGTAGATGTTGTCCTCTAAGTAATCATAAGTAGGAATCTTACGAGCCAACAAACACGTGAAGCAACATATGGCAGCACACACTTCCAGCCAAAACATGGTAGGCCTACTCTTCCTCGAGCTTTCACAATCAACAAAAAAGTTCTGGTCTTTAGCAACTGTAATTTTACTTTAAATATATTCTGGTTACCGTGCAGGAATTTCAGTTTAAGCTGTGGGTTTGCGTACTAAACTGGAGGGAGGTGAGGGGGCGCGAGGTACCTTTGCAAGGTGTCTGCTCTGAATGAAGCATCGACCGTGTTACCAGGGCAAACACTCAGGGTAAAACCCTAAATAATCAATGGACGCATCGTTGAATTTTTTCTCCTTGCTCGGGGCCCCGGGCCCTTAAAAAAACCTGTTTTTTCCCGCCCATCTCAAAAAAGCCCTTCATTTTTTGAAATTTTTCTGAACCTTGTTATGCCGTCAGTAAAAAAGTGTTTCTTGTTTCAAGTTTTAATGACGTTTAAGGAGTGTTTGTATAATGATACCCCAAGCTTAATAACATTTTGTAAGAGTTTTAATTTTTGCACCATGGTGCCCCCCCCGCCTTAACATCCTATTAAAAGTTTCAGCAATGTTTTTAAATTCATACCTAACATTTTAATTTTCCCTGATTTGGGGAATTAAATTAAAATTTATGTTGTGTAAAAAAAATGGCCATACCTCTTATTAACCCTGCAGATATGTTTAATTTTTAGGTTAGATAACCGAAAGCTGGGATTTATACATGAAATTTAACAACACAAAACAATGGTTTGTTTTATGTGTTACCTCGGGATCCCTAACATACAAAAAAGGGAAGAAAAATTGCAACTCCCAACGGGCCCTCCCCCTTTTTTCCAAACTTGACTCCTGCATATATATATATATATATAAATATAATATTATATATATATATATATATATATTTTATATATATATATATATATATATATATATATATATACATTTTCCAGAGCCCCTTTTGGCTCAGGGGGAAAGAGGGAAATCAAAATTTCCCTTAAGGAGCAAGGAAAAAGGCCCTCATCAGGGTAACTAGGAAACCCCGGGGGCAGCTATTTTTTCCTGTTTCACGCCCAAAACCGCGGGGCTGTTCAGGGGGGGTAATGCCTGCTGAAAATTTTGGGAAAACCCCCGACGCCTCAGTTTCTGGGGAGCGGGATAAGATTTTCGCATTAAAATAGTGACAAACACTTAAAAAATGTACAAGACATGAAATCTCTCACTCTCATGTACTGTAAAAACCCAAATCTTTTTTATAAAAAAGAATCTTTTAAAGCCTTTTGTACCATTTATGTAAAAAAAATATACCTTTTGGAAAAAAAAGAATGAAAAAGGGGTTTGGTGGGGGAAAAATGGAATATTCAAACGGCCCCGGAAAAAAACCAAATATTTTTTCTTACGTTTTTTTTTATCCACTTTTTTCCGAGGCGTGGGTCCCCCCCTTTTTACACCAGAGTGGACCCCAAATATATATATATAAAATAAATATAAAAATAAAAAAAATATATAATATATATTAAAAATATAAAAATTATAAAATATATATAAAAATTTTTCAACAAGTCGGCCGTCTCCCACCGGGGGCAGGGTGACCCAAAAAAGAAAAAAATCCCCAAAAAAAAAATACTTTCATCATAAATTCAAACTTTCACCTCACCACACTTTAAACCTTTTTTTGCAGAGGTGCTCAGAATACAACATTTTTTAGAACCCTACACATATAAAGTTTCACAACTAACCCTCCAAAACTGCCAATATCCCAAACCCCCCCCTTTAAAGTGCAGGGCAATCCCCGTAAATTTCCCAAATTTTCCCGGACCACGTCCGGGTATAAAAAAAAACCGGGTTTTCCCCAAAACCCTTCACTAAATATTAAACCCCGCTCACACCCCCAAAAGGAAACCCTCATTCCCAAGTACCATTCGTTTTCCCTTCCCTCCTACTCCTATCTTACCAAAGGGTCAAGCAGGCTTTCAAAGGAAAATCCCCAAAACCCCCTTTCCCCCAAAACCTCCTTTCCCCCCCCTCTCCAAACCCTTTTGAGGAAAAACCCCTACCCCCCTTCCTTTCCCCCCCTTTTAAAATTTTTACTTTTCCCTGTCATTCCCACTTTGAACCCTTCTCTCTGAATGACCAAAAACCCCCCTCAAAAACCCCTCTTTTGCCCCCTTGACTAATACTTTTAAATTTAAATCCACACCTTTTCCAAATTTTTCCACACCCCGAATTTTCTGCATAATTTTTACACCCACATTGCCCTTAAACAGGACATCTCCACTGCCTCAACCGTCTCCCGCTGCTGCATTTCCAAAACAATTTTCAATCCAAAAAAAAATGTTGGTACACTATATTTTCATACTTTCCCCTTTTTTCCCTCCATAGAAACGTTTTTTGCCCCCACATTCCTCAACGCCCCACTCACCTTTTTTCCCTCATCAATCTCTGTTAAAACCTCATCCTTCATAAATCCTCCGCCGACACTAACCCCCAAGTTCTAAAAACATTCATTCTTCCCATACTCCCCTCCCCAATTATATCCTTTTTTTCTTTATCAAAATCATTTGATACCCTCATCACCTTACCTTTTCTATGTTCACTTTCAACTTTCTACCTTTACACACATTCCCAAACTCATCCACTAACCTTTGCAATTTTTCTTTAGAATCTCCCATAAGCACAGTATCATCAGCAAAAAGTAACTATGTCAATTCCCATTTTGAATTTGATTCCCCAAAATTTAATCCCACCCCTCTCCCAAACACCCTAGCATTTGCTTCCTTTACAACCCCATCTATAAATATATTAAACAACCATGGTGACATTACACATCCCTGTCTAAGACCTACTTTTACCGGAAGTAGTCTCCCTCTCTCTACACACCCTAACCTGAGCCTCACTATCCTCATAAAAAACTCTTTACAGCATTTAAAAACTTACCACCTATTCCATATACTTGCAACATCTGCCACATTGTTCCCTTATCCACCTATCATATGCCTTTTCTAAATCCATAAATGCAACAAAAACTTCCCTACCTTTATCTAAATACTGTTCACATATATGCTTCAATGTAAACACTTGACCTACACATCCCCTACCCACTCTGAAACCTCCTTGCTCATCCGCAATCCTACATTCTGTCTTACCTCTAATTCTTTCAATTATAACCCTACCGTATACTTTTCCTGTATACTCAGTAAACTTATTCCTCTATAATTTTTACAGTCTCTTTTGTCCCCTTCCCCTTGATATAAAGGGACTATACATGCTCTCCGCCAATCCCTAGGTACCTTACCCTCTTTCATACATTTATTAAACAAAAGTACCAACCACTCCAACACTATATCCCCCCCTGCTTTTAACATTTCTGTCATGATCCCATCAGTTCCAGCTGCTTTACCCCCTTTCATTCTACGTAATGCCTCACGTACCTCCCCCACACTTACATTCTGCTCTTCTTCACTCCTGAAAGATGGTATACCTCCCTGACCAGTGCATGAAATTACTGCCTCCCTTTCTTCCTCAACATTTAAAAGTTCCTCAAAATATTCTCGCCATCTACCTAATACCTCCATCTCCCCATCTACTAACTCCCCTACTCTGTTTTTAACTGACAAATCTATACTTTCCCTAGGCTTTCTTAACTTGTTTAACTCACTCCAATATATATTAATATATATATATATATATATATATATATATATATATATATATATATATATATATATATATATATATGCGAACAATCGCAGACGGGCGATCTTAACTATGCAGGACAAGCCACGGGTAACTGTAGCCAGCGACACCTACGCTATTCTAAGGACCGCTCTCCCTGCTTTGGTTGTTCCCTTGTAACATTGCTTAGCTCCTGATGACGCACTGAGAAGGGGTGAAAGTAACTTGAGCTAAAGATTTCCACCCCCCCCCCCCGGTGGCTTGTCCTGCATATATATATAATATATAATATATATATAAATATATATAAATATATATATATATATAATATATATATAATATATATATTTTATAAATAATATGTGGGGCCGAATGGGCAGAACTTGCGATCCTTGGCTTAAATAGCAACGCTTATTTTGCCATATAGGACAAGCGAAAATTTGTGTATGCAAAAAATTTCGCCAAAATCATTCTGAACCAATAACAAAAAAATAAAATTTCACTGTGTTTGTTTAGTATTTAAATTATTGTAATCAAATCTAAAATATATTTAGTTGGGGGAGGTTAAAATAAATTGCTCTTTTATAATAAGGTTAGGTAAGTTTTCTAAGATTCTTTTGGTTTAAAATTAAAAATTTTTACATTAACATTAATGAAAAAAATATATCTTTAAAAGTATAAGAGAAAATTTTAGAAAAAGGGCTTAATTTTAAATGAGTTCTTGCTAATTGGGCCAGTTTTAATATTCGCACGACAAAAAATATATATATATATATATATATATATATATATAAATATATAAAATATATATATATAATATATATATAATATTTTTTTTTTTTTTTTTTTTTTTTTTTTCAACCCAATCGGCCGTCTCCCACCGAGGCAGGGTGACCCAAAAAAGAAAGAAAATCCCCAAAAAGAAAATACTTTCATCATCATTCAACACTTTCACCTCACTCACACATTATCGCTGTTTTTGCAGAGGTGCTCAGAATACAACAGTTTAGAAGCATACACATATAAAGATACACAACATATCCCTCCAAACTGCCAATATCCCAAACCCCTCCTTTAAAGTGCAGGCACTGTACTTCCCATTTCCAGGACTCACGTCCGGCTATATAAAAATAACCGGTTTCCCTGAATCCCTTCACTAAATATTACCCTGCTCACACTCCAACAGATCGTCATGTCCCAAGTACCATTCGTTTCCATTCACTCCTACTCCTATCTTACACGCTCACGCAGGCTTGCAGGAAGTCCAAACCCCTTGCCCACAAAACCTCCTTTACCCCCTCTCTCCAACCCTTTCGAGGACGACCCCTACCCCGCCTTCCTTCCCCTATAGATTTATATGCTTTCCATGTCATTCTACTTTGATCCATTCTCTCTGAATGACCAAACCACCTCAACAACCCCTCTTCTGCCCTCTGACTAATACTTTTATTAACTCCACACCTTTTCCTAATTTCCACACTCCGAATTTTCTGCATAATATTTACACCACACATTGCCCTTAAACAGGACATCTCCACTGCCTCCAACCGTCTCCTCGCTGCTGCATTT